GTTTTCAATTGAAAAGGGCCGGCTGCAGAGTCATTTAGGTAGAGCACGTGGAGGTAAACAGAACTTTCGTTTTCTCCTCCATCACTCTAGGCGAATATCTCCCGAGTCCACAATGTCCCGTTTTCCATGTGTAGATTCGAGTATGGAGTTTAAGATAGGAATATACCGATACCACGCCCCCCAGCTTCCATGCTAGAGATAAAAAATTATATTATTTAGGATAGAAAACGCTGGTGGGATGGGAATGACAGCAGATTTAGATCAGAACGGAAGAGTAGATTAGCGCTGCAAATGCGTTAGCAACAGAAGCTATCTAAAATAAAACACATGGGAGAAAAAAGATAGTAAAACAATGAAAAGAGCCCCACATGCTTGTGGGACAATGTCTAATGGCCATACGATAGATATATACTAGAGGCCCAGCGCATGAAATTCGTGTGTTGGGGGTCAGGGGGCGGCAGGAGGTGGGGGAGGTCCCTCAGTCTGCCCAGCCTGCGCCCTCCCGAGCGTCCGCCCTCGCCGGATGTATGCCTGATGGCTTAGGGGCGGGCCATGGAAGCCCAGCGCCGCCTGGCGCCTGGCCGGGGCTGCGGGCACCCTCCTCCCAGCGCCGCCGGTCCGGAACCCGCGGCCGCGCCCGTGTCGGTGCCCGCGCCGCCGCAGGTACCGGGCGCCGGGGACCGGCGCCAGAGTGCGCTCTCCGCGAAGATGGCGTCGGGGTTGCACAAACTTCGGGCCCTCGGGGGCGGGACGGCGGCCTGTGTGTGTTCGAGGGTCCGCGGGGACTGGCCGCCCGGACCACTTCCCGCCGCGCCGCGCCGAGGGCGAAAGTCTGGGGCGGGGCACGCCGGCCGCAGCCGGTTTGGGGGTAACTTGAGGAGACGGGCGGGTGCTGGGGTCCAATTTTCCGCGACAGAGCTGAGCACTCCTGGTCCGCAGGGCCCTGCTGTGGGCGGCGGCTTGGCGGGCTTCGAGTTCGCGCCTCCGCAGGAGCCAGAGCCGCGGGCTCCGGGGACGTGGGCGGGGGCGGCAGCGGGACCCCCGACGCCTTCGGCGCACATCCCGGTGCCAGCGCTCAGGTGAGCCGCGCGCCACGCCGAAGTGGGCGTGCGCACACGTGCGCCCTGGTGTGCAGGGTGGTGGGTGGGGCGCGGGCACGTGCCTTCCCGACGTCCACACGGGGTCCTAGGTGGAGAGCAGGTCAGGGCCCGAACCACACCCCAGCTCCCCAGCCTGGTCGAGGTGAGCAGAAATGATGGGTGTTGGTATCCCTTGTCCCCCGCACACCCTAGGGCCAGAGCGCAGCTGGGAGGGCCGCTGTCAGTCTCTGCAGGAGAGGCCGCGAGGCTGACCCTCAGGGGTCCGGGCCTCTGGCCTCCCTCTCCCCAGCCCTGCCGTGAAACCTTGGGTGCTGGACACCTGGGCTGGCTGTGCAGCCCTGGGCGGGCTCTGGCCCAGCCCTGCTGGGGCCTGGGGACTCGCTTGTACTTGGAGGTTTCCCTGGGCTGTTGCTGACTGCTGGCTGATCCCTACAGCCCCCACCCTGCCCCCAGGCCTGGCTCCTGGCCCACCGCTGCTGATGCACAACCCTGGTTAATGTGTGATTGGGGGAGGACTGGGCCTCTTGTGCCCTGGTGGGGCCTCAGACCCCTGTCCAGCACCAGGACCCGAAGGAGACGCTGTGGAACAGAGCCCAGGTGTGAGTGACTCGGGCTTCAGGAAGACCCCAGCCCAGGCCCTGTTTGTTCCTGGTGGTTCCTGGAGATCTGGGCTCTGCAACCCGAGCTGGGGGTGGAGCTGGGCCTGCTGCCCAGCCAGCCAGCGCCTGGGGAGCCTGGAGCGAAGGGGCCTGGTGTGCACACACACATGCCAGGCCTGCACATGGTGCCTGGCCCGAGGAGGGGTCTGGAGTACTGCTGGGCCCCACCAGCCAGCCCCCCACCCCATTGTCCTCCAGAGCCCCCCAAGGAAAAGTCCAGCTGGATGAGGTCATGGCTGCCGCAGCCCTCACAAGCCTGTCCACCAGCCCCCTCCTGCTGAGGCCCCCGGCTGCAGCCTTAAGCACAGGTGAGACAGAGGCCTGCATAGCCTGGAATGGGGGCAGGGCCCAGGCCACTGTTCCTCCAGGACGTTAGTGGGGGGCAAGCAGAACCCCCTCGCTTGCAATACCGCCTTCTAAACACATGGACGTTAGGACCCCCAGTGCCCTTACTGAGGCCAAAGCCCCAGTACCCCAGGCCTGCAGGCATCTCCACTCACTGGCCATGCATCTTTGCATTTATCCTTTCCTGTTCCAGGGAGATTAGGCCCCAGGCTGATGTGGCCAGCTCCTCCTGGCCACCACCTCCTCCAAGAGGCTGCGTGCCCACCTAACTTCCCTGTGAATAGGTGACTAGGCGAAGCTCAGAGTTAAGGGACTTACAGCCAGCAGTCTGTGCAGAGCGGCACGAGCACGCTGAAGTCCTGACACTGGCCTGGCGTGTCCCTGCAGACGCCTGCTTGGAGCCCTGGCCCCAGACCCTGGGGCAGCCACCAGGCAGTTACAGCAGCAGCAGCAGTGGGGACTGGGGCTGGGACCCAGCCAGCGAGCAGTCCTGTCCATCCTCCCCATCACCCCCACTGCCCCCAGAGGCAGCCTTCCTGTTTGGGGAGCCTGCCCCTCGGAAGAGGAAGGTAAGGGGATGGGGGAATCAGTGCTCAGGGTGGGGTGGACACATGGGTGGCGAGCCTGACCAACAGCCCTTGTCGCCCAGAGCTCGGGGCAGGTCCTGTTCCAGTGCCTGTGGAAGCGCTGTGGGAAGGTGCTGAGCACAGCCTCCGGGATGCAGAGACACATCCGCCTGGTGCACCTGGGGTGCGTGGGGCCGGCAGGTTGGGGTGGGGCAGGCCAAGTGGGCCAGCACTTCAGCTCCCACCTGCTATGTCCCCAGCAGGCGGCAGGCAGAGCCGGAGCAGAGTGATGGCGAGGAGGACTTTTACTACACGGAGCTGGGCATTGGTCTGGAGGTGCTGACCGATGGGCTGTCCAGCCTGACCCCGATGTCCCCCACGGCCTCCCTGCTGCCCACCTGCCCTCACCTGCTGCCAGAGCCCCCAGCCTTGCCCAGCCTGCTGCACCCATTGGCCTTGCCCCCACCCCAGGTGCTGAGTCCTGCAGCGCCCCCCCAGGTGTGCCACAATGACCACTCCTACCAGGTGGGTGAGGTCACTCAGGCAGCAGCTGGGGTTGTGTCCCAGGGGTGCGCTGGAGGGGAGCAAGACCACAGCTCTGTCTCCTTGCAGGGCTGCCTGGCATCCACCGAGCTGCAGCCACAGCCCAGCACAGTCAGGGCCTGCGTGCCAGCCGTGCCCTCTAAGCTTAGTGCCAATCTGAGGTGCGTGTGGGTTGAGGGGCAGGCGACAGGTGGGGAGGGTCCCGGCCCAATGGCACTCCATGCTCCCTGTGTGTTCCCCTAGGAAGCCCCGAGGTGACGCCAAGAAGTGCCGGAAGGTGTACGGCACGGAGCGCCGGGACCTGTGGTGCACGGCCTGCCGCTGGAAGAAGGCCTGCCAGCGCTTTCTGGACTGAGGGGCTCGGCCACTGGGCTCAGCCACCAGGTTGCAGCCCCTGGGACTGTGGTGCACGGCTGAGCCCTGCACCCGCCCACCAGGGTTCTTACAGGAAAAAACACACTGCACCCCACCCCTGCCCAGGGCCTCTCTAGCCACAGGGTCTACTTTTTCATGGGGAGGGACGTCAGTGACCCTGGACTCCCAGAGGCGGGGGAGGTCCCACCACTCAAAGTGCCTCCGAAGAAACCAGCCTTTTCTACTAAAGCCACACAGGCCCTGGGGTGGCCGTCCTCCCTGCCTGTCCATGGACTTGTCAAGGGTGCAGATAGGCCCAGGTTTGAGGCCACGTGGGAGCCAGACCTGGATGCACTTGGTGGGGGGGGGGGGGGGCAGGGGGGTCTCCCCTGTCGCAGTTATCCTGATGGTTCAAGGGCCCAGGGGCTGACATTTGTACCATGTTTTTGAAGCTCAGGTGTCTTGCGTCAGGGCAGTGCCAGGCGAGGAGAAAAATTAAAGATTTGGGGTTTTTCCAGAAGCCGTGCCTGCCTCCTGGGAGGGGGGCACGACATGGCTCTGGGACCCTGCCACAGGCCTGGCTGGTGGGTGGACGGGCCCAAAAGGCCAGCCACTGGCCACCTCCACTCCGTGCAAGGCCGTGGGAGGGGACCTGTCTCAAACACACACGAGGCATCTCCTTGAGCAGCAATTTCCCAATTTATTGAGTGATCGCTTTGCAGGAATGTCTCAGCTAATCCCGTCACAGAAAGGAAATCCGCAGGCAGGCCAGAGCCCAGGCAGACAAGAACTCGCAAACCCACCAGAGGAGGTCTGTCTGCCTGCCCGAGGCGACAGAGAAGCAGACAGCAGCTCTGGGTTCCCCCAGCCGATCACAAAACCTCCTCCCCCAAATGCTCACCATCTCCAATGCCAACACAGGTTTATAATAATATAAAGTCAATATAATATAGATTATCCCAGAAAAATCAGCAGTCTTCAAACACGGCCCTTTTTTTGTTGTTTGTTTTTTGTTTTTGTTGACAGGTCGAAAGCGTGTTGAAAAAATAAATATTTAAGAAAAGCACACAGGGCACCCTCCCGACAAGGAGCTCTGAGAGGGCTGCATACGGAGCACAAGGCAGGACCCGAACATGAACCACCACGAAGTGTGGCTTCAGAGCTGCACGTGTCACAAATGAGGGCAAGGACGATGATCTTCCATCCATTGCAGAAAGTTCCAGTTTTTGCATTTTCTTTTTTTTATAGAGAGATGTGCAAAGTTGGAAGCAGGAGCTGTGTCTTTTGAGTCGAGGTCCCTATTGAGTCCTGGCAGTGTTGTGACTGTTTCCCCAAACCCAGGGTCCAAATGAACCCCCTGGTCAGGATCCAGAGCTTAATACAAAAGTCGGTGGGTTCCCCGTCCCCCCTGACAGACCACCCAGCGGGCTGGCTGTTTCCCACTTTGGTGTTACCAACACCAAAATACAGACACAAACAAAAAAGTACAAAATGTGAATGTAATCTACACAGTTTTTCCTCTTCGTAAAAAAAATATTTATTAGCTTAAACATTGATTTAAAAAAAAAGGTCAGTCACATAAAATAACCCTTCATGACACACTTTCCCGCCTGAGGGTGTGCGCGCTCCATCCCGCCGCTGCTAAGCCTGCACAGCGGGCCTGGGCCTCGGTCTCCCAGTACAGTGTGGGTATCAAGGAAGAAAATATTCCTGTGGCACGGACAGCGAACCCCCAAAAGGTCAGCAGGGGCAGCGAGCAGGTCAGAAAGACCAAGGTGTCCTGAGTGGAGGCGGCCGGGGCGTGGGCAGGGTGGCCTGAGGTGGGACCAGTACAAAACCCAGAGACACCTGTCAGCTGCAAAGGTCTGGTTTCAAAATGTGTTTTGTAAGAAAGTAGGTCGGTTTAGAAAAGGGGCTAGAAAGTGGGGGGAAGTACAAGTTCTGAGAGCCCAGGGGTGCTCAACTGGGCCTCCCTGGTGACAGGCAGGGACCATGTCCAGAAGCCCCCGCACAACCTGGCCCACCCTCCGCAGGAGGAGCGGGCGACGGGGAGGGCTTGCCTGTTGGGGACGACCTTGGCCCTTTCTCTTAAGGACACAGTGTCAGGGGCTCACCGGGTCTGCAGCTGAGGGAAGTGGGTGCAGGCAGCCCCTTCCAGAGCGCCCTCTGCTAATGGATGGAATGGCAGCTGATTTCATTTAAAAAAATAAATAAGTAAAAGCAAAGGCGGCAACTTCTCCCCTGGGGCAGGACTTCAAGGACAGCACCATATCCCACGCACCCACTTGGGCCAGGGCGGGTCCCCCAACCCCAGCAGGAAGGTTAGTCCTCTGGGGCCACTGGAACCTACATGAGGGCTTGTGGGGGGTTCCACTGGGAAGAATAGATGTGACTCAATAAGAAACTTGGTAAAAGCCACTGGGCTCAGTCTGGGTAGAGGAAAAACCGCGGCTCGCTCTGGCACCCTTGAGCCCTGGCAGGGTGCGTGCTGTGCCTGAGCGAGGCGGCAGGAGGCGGGAGGTCTGAGGAACAGGTGCCAGAACAGCCTTGACGAGGAAGAGGAGGGTCTGCCCTCAGCCAGACAGGGTGCTGGCCAGCAGGCCGTGCTTGAGGCAGAGCCTTTGCTTTTCGCTCGGAACAAAGGAGAGCAGGCCGTGAGCGCTGAAAGGCAGCACGAGGGCCCGGCCACAGGCTAAAGGAGAGACGGCTGCTCAGTCAGGCGCGAGGAATAAAGCCAAACAGCCGCTCTATGTGCCCATCTCAGCACGTCTCTACTTAAACAGCTTGGTTACCCATTCGGGGGCAGGACAGTGCGTGGCAGGCAGGATGCCGCCTCCAGTGTTAGCAGCAGCAAAGGCTAGTTCCCCGGTGGGGCAGCAGGCGTGGCCTAGGTGCGACAGGGTGGAGAGCCAGGGGACAAGGCCGCGCAGGCTCCCCAAAGAAGTGCACATGGAACAGAGTGGGACCCCATGGGCCCAGCTGCCCGCCCCACCAGCAGTTAGCACCTGGGAGC